AAAAAAAATTATTTTTTATTATACAATCAACATAAAAAAAATGAAAAACATGTTTAATTAAACATTGGACCTTGATTGGTGCACACTTGGATCCAACACCCGGGTGTGCACCCCCACATAAAAAAAAAAGTTTGGACCGGGTGGTGATGGGCTTTTTTTTTTTTTCAATGGGAAATTTGTTGACCCGGGTGTTAACCTGGGTGTGCACAAATCATTTTCCTTAAACATTCCATGAATTTAAAAATTGTATTATTTCTAATGTTCAAAAAAAAAAAAAACTGTATTATTTCTAGGTTCGGTTGCATGGCCTTCCTCAACCATTAAAAGTGAGCAATCATGGGGCTAAGTGAAGCTACCCTTGAAATTAATAAATTTAATTTGCAGTAATTTTGTCCATATGGCTGGACTGATTTACATCTTTCTTACAATTTTAGTGGCCATTTTCGTTTGTATACTTGAGATGGCCATCAGGGCGTTTGCAGTTTTCTCAAAATTTGCATTGATAAATGGGTTTTGAGTCTGAGAACTGGCTGGAGATCGAGGAGTACTTGTGTTTTTTTTTTTGGTAAAAGAAGAGTGCTTTAGTTGGTTATACTTACCCTATGTTTGAGTTGGTTATCTTTCTATTCTCCTTCATTTATTTTCCTTTATTTGGATAAATAACAAAAATAAAAAAAAAAAAAAAAAAAAAAGAAAAAAAAAAAATCTCTCCCTTCTCTCTTTTTATATTTTTAAGAAAAAAAAAGAAAAAACTCCTTCCCCCTCTCTCCTTTTCTCTGTTATTCTCAATCCAAACATATTATTAATTAAAGTTGCTTATCCTAAACAACAAATTTGAAATTAGATCGAGTGTCCACATCACTCATGGGTCAAAAGCTAATCGTGTTAAAATTCACAACTAGTTAAGCCGGTCAAAGGATAGAGCAAAATTATTTTGGAAAAAAAAACTAATTTATAGTAGGCTCGAACCACATTATGTGTCCGGGCTGATGGCAATGTCCCAACTACCGGACCAATGAGGCAATGGCTACCCCTAATTCACAAGCAACTGCAGTCAACATGGATTAATGAATTAGTCATGTTGATTAATTAATTAATGAGAAATGGACATCAAATGATATGAAAGATAAAATGATTTTAGAAAGTAAGAAGGACGATGTCATGCTAATGTCATTTCCGCCCAAAAGCTAAATACACCGTGTAAGCCTTCACCATATGCAACCACGTACAAATTATACTCATACATATTACAAACCTTTCTATATATATCTCACGCCCATTTCCCCTATCCATCTAACTAAACTTGTAAAAGAAAGAGACTCTCTTTATCCAGAAATTCTGTCCATTATGAGGGTCTCTACTTCTCAATTTTTAGTGTTCCTACTCTTTTTTTGTGTCTACCATTGCCAAGCTCACACTCGTTACAAGTTTGTTGTAAGTTTATCTTTGTAATTTTCGATCTTCCTTAACAAAAAATTAATAACAATTCCATGCATGATCATAAGGGATGAAACTGAATTTATTGTAAATTATTTTTGCAGGTGAAGGAAGTTCCATACACAAGATTATGCAGCACGAAGAACATACTGACTGTAAATGGACAATATCCGGGACCTCCAATATATGTCCACCGAGGAGAGACGATCATTGTAGACGTCTACAATCAGGGCAGTTATAACATCACTCTTCATTGGTACAAATTCGTCAACTAATTATTTAAAGCTCTTAAATCGAACTGTCGTTAGCCTAAAATAGAAGAAAAAAGAGTGCTGTTACTCATGAAATAGCAAAATTTTGACAGGCACGGAGTGAAGCAGCCCCGATACCCATGGTCTGATGGTCCGGAGTATATCACACAATGTCCAATTCAACCAGGAGGGAAATTTAGCCAAAAAGTTATTTTCTCGACAGAAGAAGGGACATTGTGGTGGCATGCTCATAGCGAATGGTCGAGAGCCACGGTCCATGGTCCTATAATCATATATCCCAAGAATGGATCTGCCTATCCGTTTCCCAAACCTGCTGCTGAAGTGCCAATCGTTTTAGGTACATGTTCTCAAATCGATTACTAAATCCATAAGGGAAAAAATATATTTGAGTTATTAATTATGGGAACTCAGATAATATGGATTCTATAAAAATTTGGCATGTTTGAAATGATTAAGTAAAAATATGTTTGGTATTATTGAAAATACAGGAGAGTGGTGGAAACAAGATATACAGAAGATATACGACGCATTCGTCAGTAACGGTGGTGACCCAAATATTTCCGATGCTTATACCATCAACAGTCAGCCTGGTGATCTTTATCCATGCTCTAAACCAGGTCAAACACTCTTATCTAATTTGCCAATTAAAAAAAAAAAAACACTTAATCAATATTAATATATACTTTCTTACTGATAAAAAAATATATATTAATATGCTTTCTCTGGTTGCAGAGCGCAAGGCAAACATTTTGTTACCATAGAACAACACAATACACCAATCCCAAATGAGCTTACCACTCAAACTTGAGCATGTTTGATTGAGTTTTTAGGAGTTTTAGCTTTTTGATGTTATTTATGTTTCATCAATTTAAATTTCTTTTTTAAAAAACTTACATATTTTAAAAGGACAAGAGTATCTCTTATACTCCATTAATTTAAATAAAATAAATCACTTTACTGATAAAAAAAAAAACTTATATTTTTAAACTTTTTTTTAATTTTAAAAAGATCTCAAACAGTAAAAACTCAAATGTTTCAAATCCAAACTTTTTATAAACTCATGTTTTATTCATTTTTCACTTACTTTTTACTTACTTTTCACTCATTTTTTTTTATCTTTAAAAGTAATTTTAAAAATTTTTCTTTAATAAAAATTTAAATTTATCACTTATAATAGTACTTATAATAGTACTAAAAAAACAAAAACTCTCATAAGCCGCACTAAACAAGTCCTTAATAAACAAATATTTTTTTTTCTAAAGAGTAATTTAATATCCTCGTTTTTTATTTTTTTCAGGAACTTTCAAACTTCAAGTTGAGAAAGGTCTAACTTACCTGCTTC